CCCCACACACACAATGTCCCCACACCCCGACACCGTTGTCACCGCGTCCCGAGCCCTGGAGGTAAAGCCAGGACCACCCCCGCCGGTGGTGTCACCTCCCGTAGCCTCGTCCTTGTGCCACCAAGGCCAGAAGGGACCAACCCAGGTAGGAGACACCAGTTTAAAAAAAATAAACCAAAAACACCAAAAAAAGACAAAAAAAAACACAAAAAAAACCCCCAAGAAACGGAGAGAACCCAGCAAACCTTGACCAGCGGTGACACTGGTGGGGCACTGGGGACAGCAGCGGGGAGCGTCCCCTTCCCAGGGCGGGAGGTAGCAGGAGGGGGACGGCGGCGAAGCCCTGGAGGGATGCGGGGTGTCCCCACGGGAACTGGGGGAGAGTCGGGGTGGAGGGTTTGGGGGGGGTTGTCAGTGGGTGACCAGGGTGGAGGTGATGGTGAGAGCGTCCTCCTCCTGGATGGTCTCCAGCTCCTCGCTCTGCACCGCCTGCGTGATGAGGGTCAGCTCCTGGCACAGCGTCTCGAAGCGGTAGCTGACGCGGATGTCGGGGACGTTGGTACGACGGATGTCGTTACCCTCCGGACCCTCCTTCAGGTAGTGGGGACCCAACCAGTAGCTCTTCACCTGGTGGGGAGAAGAAGGAGGAGAAGTTCCCACGCTTGCTTTGTAACCCTTGGGTGCTGCCAGCAGCCCCCGTCCCCCGGTGGGTGCTGGGGGTGGGGTGGGGGGATCCCGGTGGGAACGGGGGAAACCTCACCTTGTGGGAGAAGCCGCTCATGAGGACGCTGTTACGGGCCAGCTCGCACATGTCGCAGGAGCTGAGCTTCCAGACCTGGGTGGCGATGCTGTACTCCTCCATCAGCGGTTCCTTGAGTGGGGGGGACCACCACACGGCCTCAGCGCCCACCCATGGGTCACCCCCCCAAAACTGGATTGGGGGTTCCCAACTTCTCCCCACCCTCTCCGGATCATCGGCACCCTCCGGAGCCCGTTGGCCGTTGCCTTGCTCTTGGCCACCACCGCCATCGTCCCATCGCCGGGATTTGGCCGGTGGCCGCACCAGCGCTGTTTCTGGGGAGGAGACGGTGG